TACATGCCCGTGGATGCAGTTTAGACAGTCTGTTGACCCGTGAGATTAATCTGTTTTAGCACTGATCTGTTGCAGGTATTCTCAACAGTGACAAAATACACAAACAACAAAGATTGTTGTTTGTGATAGCACTGTGGATTAGAATTTATGTAGTAGTTTACACATTGTACGTCACATTTCCTTTGCTATCTAACACTGTCTGTCTCTTTCTCTCTCACTCTTACCTGGGATTCCTCATCTCTTTATCTTTCTTCTGGGTTTTGTTCACGTCTCCTTTCCCCTGCAGCTGCCCCTCAGGCTACCAGCTGTACAACAAAGTTACTACCAAACTCCTCTTTTTCCTCTTCCGACCTTTAGTTGATCCAGATTCATGCAAATATGAAACACTTTTAAAATAAAATCTGTGTGGCTGTCATGCAGTCTCTGTTGTTGTTGTTGTTGTTGTTGTTTGAGGTGGTTACACAAATAACCCTAGCTCCAAGCTCTTAGGGTAAGCCTACCTGAAACTCCTACTAGTTAATCAGGTGTGAGCATTCTCAGTGACCATAGTATTAACATTCATAATTAAATTCTTAACAAAGAAATTAGATATCAAACATCCAATTCAGCTTCTGTTTACCTGCACCTGGAGCACAGCAGCAGAAAATGAACAGGGTTTTGGAAGTACTCATGAATGTTTAATTTTCAATATAATAACTAGAATCTGATGAGCAGCATTGGAGCTGTATTTGGCTAACAAACTCCTAATATGTAGTGACTGAGCTAAATTCTATAGCAAATACAAGAATGGTTGTATTTGTGTTGACTTTGGAAAGATTTCTGTTATTGCTTACAAACTGTCAGATGTCTTTTCTTGCCTCTGTTTCCACGCCTTCCATCACTCAAACCCGCCTTTTGTGCTGTTTCTCTGTCAGGTCTGGATGGGCTCTACGAGCGTTGTGCTCAGTACAAGAAGGATGGCGCCGACTTTGCCAAGTGGAGATGTGTGTTAAAGATCACCCCCACCACACCGTCCAACCTGGCCATCATGGAGAACGCCAACGTACTGGCCCGCTACGCCAGCATCTGCCAGATGGTTAGACACACACGCACACGCACTGAAACACACAACACGCATTTACATTCGTAGTACAGTGATGCAACACATCCATTACACAACCCAGTTAGCCCATCAGGTTCCTTCTAACTGTGTAACAGTTGGTACACAAGTCACAACCCCAAGAGAGGAAGTGCTATTGTCTGTTGTCATGACACTGGTTGCTATGTTCTCTTCCATCCACTGTTTCCTCAGCATGGCATCGTGCCTATCGTGGAGCCTGAGATTCTTCCAGACGGTGACCACGACCTGCAGCGCTGCCAGTATGTGACTGAGAAGGTGAGTGATGGAGGGAACAGATCCAACAGGGGACGGGGTGGGGGGTGTCAGCTGTAACAGATGGAGAACTTGACGGAGATTGACCTTTGAAATTATTGTGGATTACCTCTGATATGATGGCTTGGTTGCAACTGTGACTCTTACTAATGCAGGAAAATGTTGTCATCACCCTGAATGCGGCATGTTGTCAGTAAAACAAATGTGTGCAGGCAGGCCAGCAGTCTGGTTTATGTGGCACATATTTTCATTCTGATTTGAGCTGTTTGGATCATGTCTGGTCATGTTTGCTGCTGCTGGTATGGATGTCAACAAAGGCACACAAAAGGCGTTGCGGTGGAGTTAACAGTGAAGGCACTGGAGTTACATGTTTCACAGCAGCCTAAGAACACTACAAATGCAATCTAGTTCTGAGTACTGTGCCAGCCATAAAGCTGTTCAGAAGGGTTTTTTTTCATAGCAAAAGCAAAAAAAACCCACTGAATTTTGATTGTTTGCCATAAAATGATTGGCTCAGTCAAGGGCAGCAATGGATGTCAGCTGTCTACTTCATCACCACCTCCACAGTTTTAGCTACTGCCAGCATCAGTGATAAAATATATTCACTTTTAACGCCACTATGTTTGGAATTTAGTGTGATTATAACAGCTTTCAAATCATTTTGATGTTTTTTTTATCACAATATTATGAGACATTCCTGGTGAAACCACATTTCATGGAAATATATTTAATAATTGCTGTGGTGTTTCAGTCTAAACCACCAGTGTCAAATTCATGGTGGGATGAGGGGAGGAACACCAAAGTCAGTAGATTCATCCTCTGGGGACCGTGAATGGATCAACACTATTTCATAGCAATCCATCCATCAACTGTTGAGATATATTTCTATCTTGACCAAAGTGGTAGACCCAATGACCAACATTGCCATTCATCCAGTCTGTTTAGCCATGCTAGCTGCTTGGGTGTAGGACACAACAACATCCGAGATAGAGAAATATTACACAACAGTTTTACGTTAATAAACTGTATTTCACTAGCAAGGACCACGCCACAACGATATGCAGTTTAAAGATTTAATGAAGATGTAATTGTCAGAGAAATGGTTATGAATGGGGGAGTGCAGATTTGCAGATGAATGAACGGGATGGAGATGACGTCATCGGAGGGTCGGACTGGGTGAGGTGTAGATGTGGGCGGAGAGACTCAGTGTGGGGGTTCCGTCTCGTGTCCTGATGAGCCCGTGCTGTTAGGAAGCTCCCCAGTCGATGCCTAGAATGAGATGAGGAGAGGTACACAGCAGATTGACAAGGGAGAGGAACAGAAGGGGAGGGAGGGTGGGTTCGAGAGATCTGACAGGCCTGTGGTAGCGCTGTGCTGGTATATATATGTTAGTCAGGTGATTAAAGGTGTGGTTGAGGCGTGGTCCTGCTCCTGAACCAAAGTTAAACAATTAACTCCATTTGTTGCTTTCAGCTTTTCAGGCATGTTTCATTGAGTTGAGGGACAGGTATTGAAGTACTACATTTTCTATTCTTACACAAAGTGACTTTACAAACTCACAGCAGCCATTCTGCTGTCAGACCTGTGACTGTTTATGAAGTAGTAAGGTTTTTTTGGAAGCAGGGGAATGGAAATCAGCTTTCCTCTCTGTCTTCTAGGTGTTGGCAGCTGTCTACAAGGCACTGTCTGACCACCATGTCTATCTGGAGGGAACACTGCTCAAACCCAACATGGTGACTGCCGGACACTCCTGCCCCACAAAGTACAGCCCTCAAGAGATTGCTATGGCAACTGTCACCGCCCTGCGCCACACTGTGCCCCCTGCAGTGCCAGGTGAGATGGACATATAAATATCTGCAATCATGGTTATCACAAGTTTACCTTAATTCCACCTGACCTTCCTCCTTTCCATTCTCCTCTCCACACAGGTGTGACCTTCCTGTCAGGCGGTCAGAGTGAGGAGGAGGCCACCCTCAACCTGAACGCCATCAACCAGTGTACACTGCACAGGCCCTGGGCCCTCACCTTCTCCTATGGCAGGGCCCTGCAGGCCTCAGCATTGAAGGCCTGGGGAGGCAAGAAGGAGAACGGCAAGGCCTGCCAGGATGAGTACATCAAGAGAGCCCTGGTAAGGAGGAAGGAGAAGAGAGATGCAAAAACAGAGTAAAGTGGCACTTGTAGTTTAGTTTAAGCATCCACAACTAAATAGAAATTCTTGTTTAAATGGTACTTTGTACACATTTATTGATACAATACACAAATTGGTCATTGTGTGTGACTGTGTGTAAGTCTGTTTGCAGCTAATTTCGCAAACTACTGGACCAGTCAGCCTAATATTTTGTGAGCACATTTTTGACTATATGCTCAAGGACCTCTCATGGTTGCGGTAATTCAAAGTTGTTTAAAAACTTGTTTTAATGACTGTTTTATACTGTCATGAACTGCTGACTCCTCACTCCTCTTCAACACAGTCGGGATCAC